TGAACCTGTTTTTTCATGTTGGCTATCATGTCGGCATAACAGAACATCATGGATCTAGAGAGGAAAACTCGATAAAACCCGTAATCTCCGGTGTTATTCGACCCGTGCCGATGAGATGAATAGCACTACGTCAGTGTGTTTTTAAACGGAGACCTCCGGATAACTGGCGCCCTCCGGTTGTAATTTAGCCTTATCCGGGTATTGCGGATCTCTGCCCGGATGGACCTTCCTTTCTCCGCAACTCGTGGGTTTTAATATGAATGAACCAATAAATAATAAAAATAAAAATTCTATAGCGGAGAGCTCGGCTAAACAGAGCTCCAAATCTTCGGACACTAAATGTCCAAATAAGGTACCTACCGCGACTTCCAGTGGTAATAAAAAGGTGCCTTCAAATAATAATAAACAAAACGTATCGATACGCTCCGGACCACTAATTCGGTCAGGCCCTCCAGGGAGGAGGAGTTACAAGGAACGCCGAGCGGCGACTAGACTGCTCGAAAGATACGGCAATATTTCGGTTACATCCGAATCTATGAAGGCCAGGATTGCCTGGGCTAAGCAGGTCCTCGATACCTCGAAGGACAAGCAGGAACCTGCTACGAAGCGACAGCGCTCATTAGATGAGTCAGCTTCAAAACCTGATGCCAAAAAGGCAAAATTTCGTGGCAACGCCACAAATACAAAATCCTTTAGCGACATGCTGAAGGGTTCTTTAATAATGGGAGTCATTGATGAAAATGACCCGGATGGCACAATTACACCTGCTAAGTGGGACTTAATTGAGCTCAAGCTCCTTGACATTTATGTCGATCTCCTGAAGGACTTTCCTGGAGACGGTCCCACTTGTCGCGATAGTGGATGGCATCAGGGCCATGTGAAACTTATCGCCTGCGCAGATCAGCGTTCTGTTGATCTTTTTCGCAAAGCCATTTCCAGAATTGGTGAGGCATGGCCAGGCGCCAAACTTAAGGTTGTTACTAAGGAGCAAATCCCTAGTCGACCAAGAGCGCGTTCCTGGATACCAGCCCATCAGTCCGATCCTCAGCGGATTCTGGAACTTATTCGGTTAGGAAACCGTCAGTTAAACACATCAACGTGGAAGATTACCAAGCTGGAGGAAGTCAAGGGTAAATATAGGTCGGTCAGTTTTGTGATTGACAAAGCATCCTTGGCCACTTTGGCGAAATCAAATGGTGTCATTAACTACGGTTTCTCAGCCATCACAATGAGGGTATATAAAAAGGACGAGGAGCAATCCTTACCTAATGACACAGGTCCAGCAGCACCGCAAGGCACTGTTGATACCATAATGGAAGCGGGCGATATTGTAACTGCTACCGCAAACTCAGTGGGCCCAGTAGAAATACTGCCTACCACTTCTGATTCAATAAATATGGACGTGACTATGTCCTCTCCAGCTCCTTCAATTACATCTGAAGAGAGTATTGGTACGCGCTATCTTTTTGACGAAGAAGAACTTTTGAACTCTGAAAATGAATCTGAAGAAGATAGCGCGCTTGACGTTACAGTGGTGGACACTACCACATCCAAAACAAATCATGATGCGGGTACTACAAATTAACCTGCACCACTGCAAGGCTGCGTCCGCCAGCTTGTTGCAATGCCTCAGCAACAACGAGGCTGATATGGTCCTGGTGCAAGAGCCATGGGTTTTCAAGGATCTTGTCTGCGGACTCAGGACTAAAAACTTTGACTTAATGTATGCGGTAAACAAGGGTAAGCCTAGATCCTGCATATTAATAAATAAAATATATAACGCTCTCATGCTTTCGCAGTATAGTGACAAAGACCTAACCGCAGTAAGTATTGAGGGACCTTGGGGCCAGATATGGGCGGTATCTGCATATATGGCTCACGATCACGAAGAGTTGCCATCAAGTAACCTAAAACAGCTGACAATTGACGCTAGGAGACTTGGTGCAGATATCATTTTGGGCTGCGACGCAAATGCTCACCATGAAATATGGGGCAGCTCAAACACGAATGAACG